TGATCCTATTAAGGAAATTATTGATTTGGTATACCATTCTTTATTATTAGAATTACAAAGTACTGAAACTAGTAACTATTTTCATTAATGTGTTATTTTAGCACCTACAAATGAAGAAGTAGACAAGATAAATGAGTATATGCTTAATTAGATACCTGATAATTAAAACATATTTAATTTCAGACAAATTGGCAATTTTGAGCAATACAATTCTTTGACCGAAGTGTTGTACTCACTTGATGTTTTAAACCTCATCAAATTATCAGGAATACCAAATCATGGATTAAACTTGAAAGTTTGTGCTTCAGTAATGTTGTTGCATAATCTTGATCAATCTCTAGGGATATGTAATAGGACACACATACATGTAATCAACCTATCAACATGTGTGATTGAAGCAGAAATCATTTCTGGAAATAATGTTGGAGCTCAAATGTTCATACTTAGGATCCGTTTAAATCCATCTAACAAATGAATGCCATTCAAATTTATCCGCAAACAACTCCCCATGGTGTTGTCTTTTGCAATGACAATCAATAAAAGCCAATGTCAATCGCTTTCTAGAGTTGAGTTATTCTTGTGAAGACCTGTGTTCACCCACAGACAACTGTATGTTGTGTCAAAAAGGGTATAAATGTAGTAATAATGAATGAAAAGTAACCTATTAAATACAACGATTAACGTTGTCTACAAGGAAGTACTTGAAGGTTTATAGATAACACATTTGTCATCAAGATTGGGTTGGTGTTATTTGAGTATATGTCAAAATATATGGTGTGTATATATATATATATATATATATATATATATATATATATATATATATATATATATATATATATATTTGTGTTTGCTATATTTAATTAATTCTTGATTTTAATCTCAATAGTATGCTTGTATGTCGTAGAATTATTTTTAAGATCATTATCCTCGCTCTTGTATTAACACAGGCCTATCACCTAGTAAAAATAATATGATGATAACAAAAGTTCGGAATGAAAAACCTCAAGTATTGTTCGCTTATTAGATAATTATTACCGAATAAGTTCAATTTTTACTCTAAATTAAATGTGAATGAAATTCCAAACTATTAATTGCTAAATTACTATATAAAAATTAGGAGTTTTATTTGAATATTGCAATTCATTTTCAATTATTCTTATTGAACTTTTAGTTAACTATAAGGCTGGTGGGTATGAGTTCCCTCCGAACATCATTTTGTTTGTCACATTATATGTCATGTCATCTTTATACTATTTCATATTTGTTAGCTAGTGCACAACACACCACCAGACCACTTTAATTTCCATGGGGAAAATGACTTGCAAGGGTAATTACCTTTTCGTCTTGCTCACGTTTAAGCAACTTCATTTTTTTGTACACATTTTATCATCTAATTTGTTAAGTGTGTTCACATATTACCATTGTCACCAGTTATAGCAAGTGATAATAGTAATATGTGAACACATTTAACAAGTTAAATGGTCAAATGTCTACAAAAAAAGAAAGTTGTCTAAATATGAAGAATTTTTTTTATAAATTTTTTAAGACTTTTTATAATTTCTTACAACATTTTTATAATATTTTTTCTATAGGTTTTTCTAATACATTACTTTTTTTATACTTTCATATAATTTTAATACAAGGTGATTTTAAACCAAATATTTTATAAATGTTTTAAATTTTTCTTACAAGTTTTTAACTTTTTTTTATTTTACATTTTCATATAATTTTTTATAACTTTCATACAGTGATTTCTAAACTTTCTTTTACAATATTTTTAAAGTGTTTCACAGATTTTGTATGACAGTTTAATATTTTTTTATAACATTTTAAAATATTTTCGTTAAATACTAGTTTAAAACGTTGTATTAAAAAAAATTAAAAGTTTTATAAACTGCTAATTAAAAAGTATTAAAAATTTGTAATAATTTTAAAACATTTACATTATATAGATTTTTTTGTTTTTTTTATTTGCTAAGTAATATTTTCTTTTTATTTTTTTAAAAGACCCTCCATAATTATTGTTACATATTTAATTTATTTAATTTTATTGTTAGATATTATTTACTTTAAAAATATTGTACATGCTTAAAAACAAAAGAAAAAAATTATAAGAGGCTATATAAAATATTTCACAAAACAAAAACATATTTATTAATTAAAAAGTAAAGTTTAGGATTGATCAATATTTAAATAATATTTAGGAAATTATGGATATTTTAAAAATAATGTTTGCAAAAAATAATACAAACAAATATGAAAAATAAAATCGCTATTAAAAGTGGAGAAAATGACTTATCCGAGTAATTAACTTTTCGTTTTGTTCACATTTATGCAGCTTTCTTTTTTTATATACATTTAACCATTTTACTTGTTAATGTGTTCACATGTTAACATTGTTACCTGCTATAGCCGGTGACAATGGTAATACGTGAACATATATAACAAGTTAAATGATCAAATGTATATAAAAATACAGAAGTTGACCATATGTGAACAAAGCGACAATGATGATTATCCGGGTAAGTCATTTTCCCAATTTCCATATGATTGGCCATGGGAAATGCAGAGAGATGGTTGAAAGTCAAAGTGGGTATGATACATTTCTTTCTCTCCCTTGGGGTTATCCAATGCTGCATCCATGAATAGCCACGCTGCGTGGCCATTGGGCAGTGTTTTCGTGTGGAGCACCACGTGAAGGGAAGCCACCTCAGCCTCCTTCACGATGTTTATGACTCATATTTACCAATCTAATTATTGTAGCTTAGCGTTGTAATATATTGGTTTCAATTTAAAAAAAAACCTAGAAATAATTTTTTTAGTAGTATATTTAGTTTAGAATAAATTTTAACAAAAAAAATTGATTTTTATTTAACAGATTATGTAAAAGAGTTGAAATATGAAAATATATAAAACAAAAACTTAATACACAAATGCATTAAACGAAATCATTTTTAGAATAATAACATGTATTTTTTTTATACATATTTTGAACATAATTTGGCCGGTTTGGAATATTCTTATTTTTAAAAGAGACATTAAAGTTATTTTTGTTTGTATTACACTCTTTCACGAGTTTAAAGATAAATATAAAGCATAGAGTTATAAAGGTTGAATTTTGATAAATGTATTTTTATTATTGAAATTTTATTGTTTTTTGAAAAATATATAGGTTGATTTTTGATAAATGTAAGGGTTGTCTTAATAGGTTTGGAATAATAAAATAGAAAGCTAATGGAAAATGTCTCTTTCTTGGAAACGCAACCGGCATCGGCAATATTTTTCGAGTTTTTGACGAAATAGGTGTATTTTAAAAACTTATTTACCAAATAGGTATAGTTTTAAAAATATTATCCAAATAAGTGTAGTTCAAAATTATATATATATATATATATATATATATATATATATATATATATATATATAAATTCTAGCATTTTTTTAGTGTTTTTAATGTATATATATTTTTGACATTTTTAAACTTTTCACTGTTAGTTTTTCCATAGAAAAAGTTATAAAATTCGTTTTTTTAACTCAAATTTTTTTCTAGACAATGATTATGGCCATGTTTTACAAATTGATACCTAAGAAATCATATCTTAGAAAATTTTGATTCGTAAACACTTTTAATAGCAATTTGATTAAAGATATTTCAAAAAAAGCAAAACATGATACCTGTTAGATTATTTTAACTTCATGTAAACACTTTTGATATACACTATAAAAACACTTTGTTAAACAATCCATATTAAACTACTTTTAGTTACACAGCATATCAAAAACTGTTAATAATGGTTTCAGCTTCAATTTGAATATTTACAATTAGATCAATCACATACACGTAACACAAGAAAGGAAATCAACTAGACACGTGGTTCCGCCGGAATATGGAATTATGGTCTACACCCGCGGTAATCTCGCTTCTCTTGCTCTTATTTCATTGACTTCCAAACAAATTACACCTTCTTAGATCGGATTACCGATTTGACTAACTGATACTTGAAAAACCTACTGAGCTATACACTATATAGGGAAACAACTTTTAATCGATCTTTTAGCAAAGTACAGTTTAGAACTCTCTCTTTCTTTAACAGAATTAAGATATGAAATCTCAAATCTTTGAAGTTTTCTTTCTGAGGGATTTCGTTTTTGTTGTGCTATCGGATCCAGATCTAATCTACAATCAATGAAACTCATTAGTAAGATGGAAAACAGAAAAGATGGAAGCTTGAAATCAAAAAGATGAAATTAGGAAACATGAAAACAGAAAGATGGAACCTAGAAATCAGAAAGATTAAAGATGAAATCAGAAAAAATGCAGTTAATTTACACTCATATATACTTAGAAGATGAGGAATTTGAAGTTAGATTTTAGAAACATTGAATCTCGATAGAGATGGTAGCGGCTGAGGAGGCGTCGGAGGTGAGCGGTCGTGGAGGAAGCGTCGGAGGACAGCAATCAACGACATGGATTTAGTGCCGACGTTTGGTGTGGCCGGAGAGGGCGGCATACGGCCGGAGATGGAGACCACCGGAGGAATCAGGATGTAAACGCGTGTTCTGGAGTAGGGTAGCGAATTTATTTCAAAATATCCTTGTTTGGTAAATATGTTTAAAAGTACACCTTTTAGGTAAATAATTTTTTAAAAAACACCTATTTGGTTAAATTCTCAATATTTTTCTCATGACCGCCATACATTTGCCGCAGTTGACTTTTCTCAGACGTGACATTTGACAGTGGCTTATACGTCTGTTTACAAAAGTCAAAGGTCAGATTAGGGTTTTCTTGTTTTTTATTCTGAAAAAAAAAATGTTCAACAATGGTGTTGCGGCCATGACAGTCAGAATAGTTGACCTTCCCTTTCGAATCAACTATTTATATCATTGTCTTTACAACAACCCATTCCAATTTCCAAAACCCTCTTCAACCTTTACATTAATCGATCGAAAACATCTCTTCTTGTTGCGTGATAAAAGTTTGTAACTTCATTGGCAAGATGAGCCCTAGAAGGTTTCTTGAAGGCGATCACAAACAACAGGTGAAAAGTGGAGTGGCGATCAATGGTCCACGACCGACGCCATTAAAGCTCAAACAAGAATCACACACCATTCAAAAACAACATCAGCAGATCAGAAAGCCGATCATAATCTACACTTATTCTCCTGAAGTTATCCATGCCAAACCTCATGATTTCATGGCTCTTGTTCAGAAGCTCACGGGTCATTCTGGCTCTAAAGATCAAGAAAGTAGACCGAAAACCCTAAAGAAAGATGGATATAATCGAAAGGATAATGAATTTTCCAATGATTCTGGTGTCACACAGGAGAAAAGTACGATTATGAAAGCCAAGAGTCCGATGTTTAATGCTCCTTTGAATCCTTACATGGCTGATATCCCGCTTTTTACACCAAGTTCAAGTGATTACTTTTGCTCGCCTCGGCCTTTATTTCGGTTCACTGATATGGTATCGTCGTCTCCAAACATTAGTACTTCATTATCGCCTAGTTCCCTAGTCGAGCTCATGAAAATACTTCCTGAATATTGACTGAAGCATTCAACATCTTACTGATTTGTATTTATTGTTAACATCCGAACATAATATTATATACATATACATGTCCATAATTAAACACTGTTCTTTGTCGTTCATGAAGACTTCATGATTTCTTGTTCTTTTAAAGACTTCATGATTTCGAAAATAGTTGTTTGTGATTAGGGTTTGATCCACAGGGAGATCTGTCAGATGACAATATGTTTAATTTGTTCTTTGGTTTTGTGAGGGTTTGATCCACAGGGAGATATGTTTAATTTGTTCTTTGGTTTTGTGAGGGATTCTTGGTGTAATCATATATATTTAGATCAAAGTCGAATAAAATTGATGTCTTAAACTGGCCATCATGTCTTGTAAGTATTTGTTAATTTGTTTATCCTATGAACTTAGGCTGTAGATATACCCATCTTTCACATTTTGAATGACACGGTCTATTTTCCATTTATCCACTTTTCATTCACTAAAAGGCAGATAATGGTCATCTTTCACAGCTTCGCCTACGCCACTTGTATATACACAACAATAGCGCCCAAGATTTCCCCTTCGCGTAGTTCATTGAACCTTCCAACTTCACTCCGTGGCCCGTGCTAAAGAAGCGTGTCTTAACTAATTCCTTTGAACTCATTTCACCTATTCTACCTCTCGATATCTCCTCACCTTGCACCTTTTCTTTCTTTTCCTCATCCCATGATCCTTTCCCATTTTGTAGGAAATTAAAAACCATAAATTTTAATATATTTTTTTTAGATTTTTTAGTATGTATATAATTTAATAAATATTAAAAAAACAGAAAAAAAAAGCTGACCAATAACACGAGAAGCTCCCCTCATCCTTTTCCTTGCACCCTCTAAGCCACAGTGGCTGTGTTGTGTGTGTAGGGGTGCAGTTTCCTTCCCCACAACAATTCTACGCTCCATACCGTTTGGCTCTATATAGTACTTTTCTTATCAATTAAGTTAACAAAGTATTTAATGCTTTGATAAACCAAGTGTTAAATTTAAGCGTTTACTTGTTAACAAAGTTGGTTGCAAAAAGTTCTATTTCTTTGTTTTATAAAAGAGAAAATAAATATTCTATTATTTATTTTTCTTACTTATCTTCCTATAATTTTTAAACGATGATAAATATAATAAAAATTAATGTATTATATTAAATATAACAAGTGTTATAATTTTATGTGGATAGAAAAATGGTAGGAGAAAAAAATAAGAAGATATTTAATTTCTAAAAAAGTAACAATTTTATGTGAATTTTTTGGTTGTTTTATGGTGATTGCTAGACTATATTTGTAAATTAAAAAAAAAACATTTCTAAGAATTATATAATTGTAAAAAAAGAATTATTAAATTATGGAGACAAACATTTTAGATTTATATGAATTGAAATATTCCCATTGTAGGATGGTGAGATTTCATGATTTCTTATATTTTACCATCAATAAGATATTATTAAATTAAATCTTTTACATGCGTGTTCGGTACAAAGTGTTTGAGAGCGTTTGAGAGCTTCTAATTTTTATCGTTTGACAAAACGCTCTGTTTCGAACAAAAAGTCTTGTTTGACATTACAAGCTTTTAGTGTTTAGTTTAAACAAAATGCTCAAAATCTAAAAGCTACCTCATGTAATGTTTAACAAAACGCTATCAACTACCAGCTAACCGCTACCAACTAAACTTTTCTTAGTTATTAAAATAGCTAAAGAAGCTCATAACATATTTCCTTAATTAAAGTCATAATTTCCATTAAACATATAATTAGTGAAAATTAACTAGCATTAAGAACCAAAAAGTCACCAAATCCAAGAGCAATCAAATACTTTCACTAACATGTTGGAGAAAATATTTTTATGATTGTGTGAAGTGAAAATTAACACACGAACCATTCGTTGCTTGCTAATTTGAAGATCCATTACTTAATCAAGAAATTAGCTAACAAATCACTACATAAACATTGAAACTCATGAATAAAGACATATAAGTAGCAAGAAGAAGTTGAGATGTAAAACACTTTTATAAAGATCTAAGAAAAAGTTCATGGAGTTCTTCAATATTCAACCAAACATTCAAGCAATTTCACCAAAGTCAACCAAGATTAGTTTGGCCTAGCATGGCTAAACTAAAGAAAACAAAATAAAAGTATATTTTACCAAACATGTAACAAGAATCAAAGAGTAAAAAGGAGATGTTCTTCAAGTGTTTTTGGTCTTCAAAGTGCTCCAAAATCTCCAGAGAATTGCTCCAAAATCGGATGTGTAGAAGTGTTAAAAATATGCACACCAACCTTCCCCATATAGCATAAAAGATGAATTCCCAGAAATGCCCATGTAGGCCTGTGCGCGGTCCGTGTGCTGCTGTGCGGGTGGGCTGCGCGGGTGGTGCTTGATATAGGCTCTTTTGATATTTGGGCCTTCAAATCTTTAGCCCACTAGCCCAGACCGCTTCCCATCAGCTAGTAGCCCACAAATCTTCAAGTTTCCTTCAATTTAAGCCCAATTTATCTTCTCCAAATCATCTAAGGCTTGTGTACTCATCCGAACATTTTAATCCCGAATGCACACATGTTCTACCATTTTCTTCTAAGCATAAGCCCATCTTCTTCAATGCTCCATGGTTACTAGCCCACTCCATTCACCATCTCCACTAGTCATGAAGCCCATAATCCATGTTGTCCTCCATGTCTAATGGCTTCCCAAAGGTCCCAAACATTCCCGAACCGCTAGAGTCCTTAAAATCTTCAATTATGCTCATGAAACTAGAAAGTACCCAAAATAGTAAAAAAAAAATAACAAAAAGGAAAATATGCATGATAATTAGATAAATCATGAATGAAATATGATAAAATAAACAATAAAATGATAAAAATCGTCATAAATTATAGAAAAAATCGTATGAACGCGTGCGAGTAGTCCTTGAAAAGGTATAGACCTGAACTATTTGCATATTGTACAGTTTTGAAATCCATTAGGTTTAAGAAGGGCAAACCAGTCCGTGACCAGACCACAACTTTTCTGTAAAAAGCTGAAATTTAAGTTTAGATATGTTTAATGGCATAACTTGTATTTTTAGTTTTCAAAGCCTTTAAATCATCCAACTAGGATTTTTTTAGTGTGTATTCTCCCCCAAAACTTGTAAAACGAAAAAGAGGGGCCGTAGAAAACTCATTTTTTTCGCGTAGAGTTAGTCGGTTTGAGAATGGTCCGTACGGTTTCCGGTTCCACTCAAGCTCGTGATTTGAGTATTCTTTGGATGTCTTAACACATAAAGACATATATTTACATGTATGTTAGACTTTTATCATGTCTTAAGTTATTTAAAATCAGTGGACTTGATGATAAAAAGAAAGAGTAGAAATCAAGAATATACCTAGCTTTAACTTGGATCTAAAGTATGTTGCCAAAAGGTGGTGGAAAACACATGCTTCTTGAGAGGTGAAAGGGTAACTTTCTCAGGGGTTTTAAGTGTTTGAAAGTTTCTACATATGGTATACTTTGAATCTCGAAAATGGATAGTAAAATGAAGAACTTTTGGGTGTTGGTTTGATGCTCCAAAACAACCACTGTTTTTGCTATGTTGCCGTCACGAAAACTTCACAACGAAAGGGTAAGAAAAGGGTAGTTTACTCACTGTTTTGAGTTTCTAATTTAGAGTAGCATAACAACTAACTTCTAGGGGTATTTGGTGGATAAAATATCAAGCAAAAGGAAGGTGTAGATGGGTGAAATGGTGGCTGAAACATCAAGGGACAGCAGCCCTTAAGGTTCACGGGTTTTGGTGGCTTTAAAAGGGATTTCTTGTGGCTGAAGATGAGATGAAGGTTGAGAGTATTTCCCTGGAGTATTGGCTGCTGAAATGAATGAGGAACAAGGAAGATATTTCGAGATTATGAAGGAGGAGAGAGGAGAAGAAGATAAGGAGACAAACCTAGACTAGCTTGTGATGGGATGTGAGTTTAAGTGATGTGATCTTGTTTAGCCACTTGCTTGGGTGGTTGCTTAGAGATAGGGTAAGTTAACTAACTAACTACTAGTTAGTTAGTTAGTTAGTTAGTTAGAAGTTCTAGTTATAGAGAGAGAAGGTATTAATCTCGAAAATTAGGAGAGGGATTAAGAAGCATTCTTAGTAAAATGTCTAAAGTCATTAAGCACTTATTAGTTAAGTTGGCACTTCTCTCAACCATTTATTTTATCTTAACTGATTTAGACACCATATTCCTTACATGAAATCACTTTAAGTCATGACCCATAACTAATCATCCACTAGATAATAATACATATGTATAAATACATACATGTATACTTAGTATAAAATAACAATGTAGTTTTTGTGTATTTGAACTTAAATGTTTATGTTTTATTCTTTTTATTCAAAAACACTTAAATACATTCTAATTATGCCTTCTAATAATTCATTTTATATTTTTATTTATTTAAATATAAAATTTATTGACCAAGGTATAATTTTGTGACATTTAACCGGTTAACCATATCGTTAAACACGTTTCGTCACTTTGGTTCGTATATTTGTCAAATTTAGATCCTTCACCACTATTAAGCACCAGTTCTATATATAAATTAACTTACTCATCAACTGGAGACATGTTGATACAGAAATTAAGTTTGTTGCGTTCCAACGACGTTATATGCTAATTTTCACAAACCGGTGATGGTTGGTAGTCATACGTCGTAACGAAATTTATCATTACTTACTTGTTCTTATATTTTACAAGAACTTATCTAAGTAAAACAGGTTGAATTCCGTCAACCATTTTTGATAAAATATTCATATTGCTTAATAATCAAAACACAACGTCATATGATCGTTCCTATTTTTACCAATTGTTACAATTATTACCCTAAATAGTAATTAGGGTTGGTTTGAAAGTGTTTAGTGTGAGAAGCCGTGGTAGCAGCAGCTTGTATGTGTGACTGTTCATCATCAGATTCAGGTGAGTATTCTCACAGTGTTTGGCGGGTCGAAGGTACCAATGTTAGCCTA